ATGCTGGCTGGGGAATTCTGGGAGTTGAAGTCCACTCATCTTAAATTGGCCAAGTTTGGACAACACTGTGCTATGCTATTCTGAAATGCATTGTAGCCATTTTGCGGCAGACAGCCGCAGGCGGGGAAGCCTTAACACAGAAGCACACAACCTGAATACCTTCCTAGCCCCACTAAAACCTTAGATTTAGTTCCAGAGCCCTTTCAAAAATGGTCACTGGATTATATATAAATATTTGCTTCAAGGCAAGGGGAAGTATTAAGAACATGAGGAGTAGTCTTACTAACTGGATTTTATTATTAATTCAATCTTAATTAAATGTCAGTAACATCGAATTTAATTCTTCTTTTGGCCCCAACAATCTTTTGGAGTGAGGCTCCTGACTCAAAGTCCAAATGTGGCCTTCAGTCCCAAAACCTTTGCATAGGCATATCTTGAATGTTTGCCCCAAACCAGGAATGGTAGTTTATATACTCCTCATTACATCAGAGGAGTTTCTGTTTTCTTTTTTTTCCTTTCTTTTTTATTTTCAACGATTTCTTGATCACTATAAAATTTAAGTACAGTTTTGAAAGAATAAGAATGAATTTCCCACTGGAGCCCAATGTTTATATATTGTTTTTATATCAAATGTAAAAAGAAGTGGAAATCTAACATGAAATTAAAGGGGAAACTTCACAGGCAAAAACTGGGGATGGAGGGACAGAGGGTTGAATCCACATTTGGAGGCCAAGCTAATGGAATGGCTAATTATTATGTCTGTGACTTCTCTTCAACAGATGATGCTTATTGATTGGCTTATTTTTTACCCCATTTCTCTTCTAAGGAATTGAAAGTATGTATGTCTTTCCTCTGCTCAGTATACTAACCACTGTTCAATATTGTCTTTATTTCCTCTTCCTTCTAGAAGTTTCCATTTGGAAAAGTTCAGCTCATTCCCTGTCTTTTTCTCTTCCCCCTGCAGTACCTCAACTCCTTTCGGAAGCCTTCAATCTCTTACAAAGCCAGCACCTCTTGAAAGCTCACCTAGGGCTCATGGACCTGGAGAGTTTACGGGATAACATCCTATCCCAGTTGTATAGCCGCAGCCTGCTCAGTCCTTTGCACCTGGCCAGCGTTGAATCCTATTTTGGAGGTCTCCTGGAACTGAACGATGCCTTGGCCCAGCATCTGTGGGACACTGTTGCCCATGCCACAAAAGTGGTGTCAGAGGACCCATCCCTTTTTGTATCAGCTCTGCGAATCATTGAGCGAGAGGAAGGCATAGATGCTATCGTGCTGCTGAGGTCCCAGCCCCATGGCTTCCTCCCACCAGGACGCCCAAAATGTTGGAGAAGGAAATTCTTCCAAGTCATCCAAGATACTGTCATAGCTGCCTATTTCCAGGCTGAGCCAAACAACACTCAAGGCCAGTGGCTTACTAGCCACTTGGCATCCTTGCAGAGTAACATTCTAGCTGAATTACGCATTGTGAAAGATTTGATGGTCCAGTGCTGCCCTCCTCATTACAACATCCTTACAGCCTTTGCCACCATGTTCCATCAAGGCCTTGCCAATCACCTGCATCATATTCTTACCTGGGACCTAGACAAACAAGAGATCTTTGCTCTTCTCCACTGGGCAATTCATGTTTACCCAAGGTTGGTGCCCTTGCTAGCGTGTGCTGAAGGCCATGAGGGCAAAGACATTTCCAGTGTTTTTAGGAAGAGGTATCGGAAGTGATATTGATGATTCCAGTACCCATATGTATGCATAGTCCATTATGCCTGTATAGAAGAAATCCTATATGGGTGCATGTTAAAATTCTACTTATGGTATATCTTACGCAGCCTGGCATGTTGCAGGAGGCTGCTGAAAATTTACTTAGGCATTTTTGTCCTGACATTTCCTATTTTTCTGTTTTTCTGCAGTTCTGAAATGATGGCTCACGCAGATCTACTTCCTGAAGTGGACATCTCAACCTTGGGTCCTCTGCTTCCAGCAGATACAATAGGCTATCTAGAGGAGACTTACCTGGGGAAAGTACAGGTGAGTTAGAAGATCAGGGTCAGGGTTTTGGAAATCCAAGTGCCTGTGGACACGGAAGGAGGTCTGTATGTCTTAGTAGTGATTAGACTTGCAGTTTGTGAGCTACTGTGAGAAGGGATTATTTGATGTGATCCAAGATTTTAAGCAAGATCTTTTCCTCCAATGCTTTCCATTGGAGATGCTGGGAGCGTATTCAAATACTCTCTACTATCTACATCCAAATTGCTTCCCCCTGCCCCATGTGGCAAGCCACATTATTGCAGTTTATCCTAACATTATCATTAGAAAGAATGAGTTCAAGCCTCCGGGAATCTTGATCCACACCCCAACCCAAAGTTGACCCATAGTGGATCAACTTCTTGGGGGTTCTGTGGCCACAGGGAGATGGGCTGAGTTTTGCAGCTCCCAGAACTCTGATTCTCATTCCATATGCAAAGCCCAGCTCTTATTAGTTCTGGTGCTATATAAAAAAATCTTGACTAAACTAGCAGAAACTTGTTTTAGGAAGGACAGAGAAAGTTTTAGAGAAAATGATCCCTGTTTTAAACAAAAAGATGGGGGGAAATGACCCTCAAGTGACTTTTGTCCGGAAGCAGCAGTATCTGAATTGCCAAGTTCTTCCTGTATGTATTTGTATGGCAGAATATTCTGAATGCCCATCCGATATAACTGGATTCCAGTTCCCATAAGCCACAGCCAATCTTGGCCCCAACAACATCTAGGGTGCACAGGTTTATGGTTTCAGCACAGTGGCTGTGTTTGCACCACACACTGAACCACGAAGTGTCAAACTGTACAATACTTGACTCTGGTGTGCAAATCCAGATTGTATGGTTAGTTTCCGGTTTAGGATCAGGAAGCATTTCCTGACATGAGAGCTGCTAAGTATCCTCCTAGAACAATGGTGAATCTCCCCTTGCTGGAGGTTTTCGTACAAGCCAGATGGCCACCTGTCATTAGGACTGGTCTGGTGCAGTGTTTCTTAAATTTCTTTCTCTCAGGACCCCTTCCCACTTTTAAAAATTATGGAGTACCCCAAAAGAACTTTTGTTGGTATGGGTTATATTTATCGATATTTACTGTATTAAAAATTAAAATGGATGCATTCACTGTTTCTCATGATTGTTTGACAGGATTTTAATATTGTATTATTTTTCAACATAGGCTGGCAAATAATTTGGATTTTGCAGACTCCTGAAAGGGTCTTGGGGGATCCCCAGGGGTCCTAGGACCACCCTTTAAGAAACGCTGCTCAGGAGGATACCAGCCCTGAGATGGCGTTAGACTGGATGATTTCTAAGTCTCTTCAGTTTATGCATTCTACGATTCTGTGTTACACCAACGTAGAAAGCTGGGTTAATTAAGTAAAATGTGATCAAATTAATCATGGGAAGAGTATGTTCTGCGTATTATGATGTACAGTTTAAGAACGAGTTCCATTCCCAAGGTCTGTCCTTAAGTCGAATTTGTATGTAATATGATGTACAGTTTAAGAACGAGTTCCATTCCCAAGGTCTGTCCTTAAGTCGAATTTGTATGTAATATGATGTACAGTTTAAGAACGAGTTCCATTCCCAAGGTCTGTCCTTAAGTCGAATTTGTATGTAATATGATGTACAGTTTAAGAACGAGTTCCATTCCCAAGGTCTGTCCTTAAGTCGAATTTGTATGTAAGCCGGACCAGTATGATTGTATCATACTGTATAAGTAGTATTGTATAATTAATTTGAACCATTGTGTATTTAACTCAAATTTTGCTACAGGCTACAGTAGGCTCCGTTCTTAACTATGGGTCATCCTTAAACCAGGCTTTGTTAACCCGGGAACTACCTGTATCTTTAGAGAGAGAGGTTAAAATATAATTGTATTGTGAAGAATATCGGAAGCCACTTTTTGTATCTTTTTTCTTTCCTCTTTTTCTTTAACTTTTTTTCCCTTTTCTTGCACTTTTGCTTTCTCTTGGACTTCTTTCTTTTCCTTTTTTCTTCCTTACTTTATATTAGTTTGTATTTGTTTTTATCGTCTCTTTTTAAAGTTTTAATAAAAATTATATACAAAGAAAAGGAAAAGTATATTCTGCAAATATAGCCATTTTACTGCAGTGGAGACAACTGAAAATAGAAAGATGGCAGCAAAGCCAAGGAACCACACTGTTTGTGACAGTTTATTTTTGCAGGGGGGGGGGACAGTTGATTGGGGGGGTGTCATTCACATTTAAGGAGACTGAATGAGACAAATGAATTTGGAACAGGCGAAGAGCCCTAAAATGCCTGGTCCTTGAGTTCATTTCAAAGGTTCAGGATGACCTGGTCCCCTTTTGTTTTTTTCCTCTAGGCTAGTATTGCAGAATGGATGCAGAAGGCACTAGAAATGGAGTTTAAAGAATGGCTTTGTGAAAAGGAACCTGAATCTGACTATCGAGGCTTCTTCCAGACCAATCTGCCTATCATTGCCATGCAGGTTAGGAGAAATTGGGGAGGAAAGGAGAAGACTTAGCTAATTGAACAAAGATGATATTTTTCAACTGTAGAAGCCAAGCCATGAGTTTGATTCCCCATCTGTTTGTTTCTCTCTCTCCCATTAAATATCTCAGATGCTTGATGAAAACATTCGGGTGGCATCGCTCATCTCCGGTATTTTCCAGCAGAAAGTTCTTGAAATGGCTTTGGGAGAGTTGGAGGTCTTTTTGGGCAGGTCAGTTTCATCTTGTACTCCAACTAGTTCCAAAAGACAGGATGGATCTATAACATCAACACAGCAGGAGAAAGATCTTTGGGTCCAACCTGTAGCAACTGCATCACAAACGTCTGATTGGTTAATATTTAATATTCAATTATCATTCTTGGGAATGGTACTGAGGCTGCGTTGCCCCTGTGGGAATGGGATGTCTTCAGATTATATCATCAACACCATCCATTTAATCAATTTAATTAAAAATGCAGATTATTTTATTATAGCAAACTAACAGAAGAAAAAGTCCATCAGTATGAGTAACATGATCTAGAACAGTATGAACAATATAACATACAATGAATAAGCATTATATTCTGAAGCAAATTTTGAAATAATTGACCACTTTCCTCAGCAATTGTTGATCATCCTGGTAGGGGGGAAAAAAACCCTAATTCAAATGTTGTCAGCAGTACATATCAATAATCCATTGTTGCAAATCAGGTGTAATTTTTTCTTTTCAGTGATAATAATTCTTTTAACCAGCCCTTGTGCCCCTAAAGTCCACAATTCTTTTATTTTTAACTACTTTAAACCTTTCCATTTATAACAGATAATCATTAACCAACATGTTTAAGTACAGCATCATGGTTTCACATCCATAACTTTTCAGAGTTGCCAGAGATCAAAGCCATTCAAAATATAATCCCACCTTCTCCACTTGGTGATCTCTGTTCTAACTACCACTCCCCAGATTCCTAATTGGTTGAAGCCCAAATGCTTCTGCAAGATATAAGTTTGGAAAGACTTGAATAACACAAGATATTTAATAGGTACAAGAGTCGCTCATTAAGTGAGATGGGCAGTGACTAAATTTGAAATATAAATAAATATAAATAAAATAAATATTGCAATTTTCAGGATAACTCCAACATCAGTAGAACCTAGTTTATAAAAGGGAAAGTTGATATTACTGTCTATATGGAAACAAGCATGCCTTTTTCCAATACCTATTTAGAATCAACAGGTACAAAATATATGAACAATTTTTCCAGAAAAATATAAAATTGGGCACAAAGCAACTTTAAGTTCCTCAGATATTTTGTCCAGTGTAATCAATTTCCATAAAGAATTAAACTTAGCAAACCTATCACAGGTGCCAAGGTTGGCAATGGAAAATTCATGCCCACAAAAATAAAAATTTCATGATGCTATAATGGAAAATTGCAAAATAAACAGTTGTTATTACAAACTACAAAGTCATAATCTGTAGAGAGAAAGGAAGATGTCCTTGATGGAGATATGCAGAAGCTGTTGTCTAGGCAAATGGGGCTGAAGCATTTTTTAAGTCTAGAACAGCCAGATAACATTTGGAGGCAACTCAGACTGACACTCCCTAATTCACTGGGGTATCATAAGGAGGAGGAGGTCCAGCACCATCAGACTTCCAAGATTCTGTTATTATAGTCAATCTCAATAAAAGTAGTTTTAGCCTTCCTGTGGAGTTGATTTCATAGTCTGGTCTACCAAGTGGGGCTGGCATAACCCTACCTAGTGTTAGTGAAACCCCAAATTAAATTCAAATGTAAACTTTTTTTTAAGTGTTAAAAGACAGGTCAAAATCTTACAGTACTCTCAGGTGAATTTGCCACTATCTTGTAAGATGTGAGTCAAGCCAGAAAATGTTGCCGCTTCACTGGGTGAGATCAATTTATACCTCACAGAGAGCACAAATAATTGCTAATGGAGAACTAACAAAACCCTGTGAGATACAAAAAGGGACAAGACAAGAATGCCTGTTGTCTCTGCTCCTGTTTATTTTAGTTCTTGAAGTACTGAACAGAGATATGAGAGAAGATGAGAGAATTGTGGGAGTAAAGATTAAAAGAGAAACATATAAGCTAAGGGCATTTTCTGATGATTTGGTGCTGGTTTTGGAAGATCCGTTAAAGGAAATAGAAATATTAATGGGAAAATTAAAAGAATTTGGTATGCTAGCAGGTTTTAAGATTAATAATCAGAAGATGTTAACCCACAGCCTACCTTAATAGGTGGTAAACTTCCATCATGAATCCAGCCACTATCTTACAATATTGCTATTTTTGAATAGTCTCCCTTGGAATGGCTATAAATGCAAAATAACCTTCTTCTTGGCATGTCGCCTCAGTCGGCGGAAGAGTATCAGACACATTTGAGGTGAATCAAGTTGAACATTCCTTTCTGCAAGTTCTTGGCTCATAATTGGATCCACCTTTGTCCTGTCACCATTAGGTCAACTTACTGGTGGTTGAACAACAGTGTGGAGAAGGGGATTGGCTTGCAAGCTGGAAGTAGGGTGACTATATGGACAGTTCCACTCTGGCTATGACCTTACCAAAGGCTTCTGGGTGAGCAAGGCCCCTTGTGACAAGTATATTGTTCTTTTCTGCAGCCTGTATGAGAAACTGGTGGAGTTTTGCAAAGTGCCTCAGCAAGAGCCCAGGGTGTCTGAGTGCTACACACCGTACTTGCTGTCCACTGTCAACAACTGCTTGGCTCTCAGGTATTCCCAAAGTCTGTCTCTGGCACTCAGTCCATGCCTCTCTTTCCAGGCCTATTTTCGTGCTCTTCTTAATTATTTCTCTTCTCTCCTGGCAGCTCCTCCATCTCAGTCTTGTTTGTCAATGGAGTGCCATCTGAAGAGCCAGCCAGGATGCTACCATCTCTGCACGCTGCCCTGGAGAAAATCCAGAAGAAGGCATGCCAACTTCTCCTGGAGGAAATGCTGGCTGACTTGAAGGTACACCTCACCCAGGATCACACACCGCGGTTGGGTTGGCTTTGACTTAGGGTGTTGGGGGAACCCAAGTAACAGCAGTTATTCAATACGCCATGATCAAACAATTCATGGCTTAGCCTGCAAGGTGAACCAGACCACTGATTGCTACAGATTGGGCACAACCGTTAGAAAATCGAGCAGATTCCAGCTGCTTAGTGCAAGTACCCACCATTATTTGGGGAGCAAGGACTACACCCTATGTAGCACATAAGGCTGAAACAAGCCAAACGCCCAAAGCTGTATTTCACTGAATGTTGATATAAACAGTTCATCCAATAATTCCCATGCATTTTATAATATCACGCTCAGGGCAAACGAATCAGTTTTTTAGCCTCTGCATTTGCAGATGTCTTTCTTGGTTGCTCTTTCTATATAGCCTTGCATCTCATATTGACAGCAGTTTTATTTAAAAATTACCAGCATTTTCTCTTTTTGCTACTTTCTGAGCTCCTTCTCAGAAGGAGCAAGAGGGGGATAAGAATTGGTCTCTCTTATGGTCTGTTCCAGCCACTCTTTGTCCAGTTGCCCTCCCACCAGTGGTTGCTGGGTGACGTTCAGCCGATGAACAGCATATGTGAGGTGATAGACAAGCATGCGGAAGGTTTCTGCAGAACTCACAAACACGTCAGCATGGTAAGATCCTGGTCACATCTGGGGATGTCAATGGTGGGGAAGATCTATATGCTACTGAAAGCCCTATGTGAGAGCCATCCTGAGATCATCACAGCCTGATACCAGATGAGTCTGTTACCAAAACAAGAGACAAGCGGAAACCATCACTCCCACCCAAAGAGATTCTAGACCACTGCATTATGTGCGTATGAGAGAAAGAGGAACAAGAACATTAGAGGATGCTGTCTTAAATCTTTCTAACTTAAAAGTGGGTAGCCTTTTTCTGTTGAAAATTGCATTCCTGCAACAGTAATCTGTAGGATACCATATGACAGATGGAATGGAAACAAGCAGTGAGGTACCAGAGACAAAAGAAGTTGGAAATCCTTTTTTTTTTCATCATTCCCTCCCCCCCCCCTTTTAGATAATCCTTTTTTCTCTCTCTCATTTTATTTCTCACACCCTCTTCTCTCACTCATCCAAGCTGCAGGGAGAGGAGAAGTGATTCTTGTCTGAGGCCTATACTGATGACTTACAGAAGGGTACCTAAAACTCAGTCAAACATCACACATGACCTTAGGATTGTAGGTTGCCCATTCCTGTTCTACCTGGAGATGCCAAGACTGAAGCCAGGATCTTCTTCATGTGAATTATTATCCCTTCCCTAAATATAAAGTAGCCTAGGGTATTTCCCTACTGGTTCAGCCACCTGAACTCTTAGCTGGTTGGCTGTTTGTAGATGGAAGAGATTTATTTGGACATTGATGCAGAGTGTATTGATTATTATTGTAATTATTTTTAATTGTTTTGGATTGTTGTTTTGTTTTATTACTTTTGCTGTATTGAGATTAGATAGATAGATAGATAGATAGATAGATAGATAGATAGATAGATAGATAGATAGATAGATAGATAGAAGACAAAATTGACCAAATATTGATTTGCTTATTTCCAGCACATTTGCTGGGTCCCTTTGCCACTGAGAAATGATTTTATACATTTTCAACATAAATAAAAAAATAATCAGCGCCTTGAGTTGACTGGGTTCCTAACTGCACATTTCCTATAAGTGTGGGAACCGTGAGGTCCATTCAAAAGAATGTCATCTTGTGTAGCAACAGAGCTGAATTTTGGCTCAGCATCATTTGATAGATGGAAGAGATTTATTTGGGCATTCTGGCTTTCTGAGTATAGGTCTATATGTTAAACCTGTTTGACACATTCATGTATGACATTTGTAGGTATTAGCTCCAAAAGGATGTTCAGCACACTTTAAAAACATATGTGCAAAGTTGCCCGTGATCTCAGCTTAATGGAATTAGTTATATCATGACTATAGACAAGTGGCTTATATAGTTCAGATGAAGAAGAAGAACTGTGAGCTAGTTAGGGAGGCATAAAGGTCACATTCAATTTGCAAACTGCCAGTTCTCCCCCACTTCTGTGAAGATTCCTAGGTTTCACCTCAGCACAATCCAGGTTAGTTAGTGATGGAACATACTCACAAATTTCATTTCTGCAATATCCAGAAACATTACGCCTCTTTTCCTTTCCCCCTTTAATGCCCACCCAGTACCTGCTGTCAGAAGCTGAGCACCTGGTTATGATCCAGTATGTGACATCCCTCTTGCAGAAACGGATGATGTGCCGAACAGCCAAGGAGAGGAGCAAGATGTCCACAAGGATGCTGCAGGATACCTCTCAGCTCAAAGAACTCTTCCGTGCCCTGGTGAGAGAGAACAGGAGAGAGGGAAACCTCTCCAGCCTGTGTAGACATGCTCCAAAAAAGGGGTGGGAATCTCTGGGGAGAGGCAGACCGACTTTGCCAACCAAGAGTAAGGAAAAATGGCTACTACAACCGAAGAGGCAACAAGCACAATACTTTCTTAGTTCGGTTCTGCATGGTTTAATGATGCTGCTTTAAAAATGGATTAAAACTCAACACTGCAATATCATACCCACAAAACAAAAGTTTCAAAGTGATATAGGGGAGAATTGCAAAAACTGTTAATTTATTTATTAGATTTGTATCTACTGCAATCAAGGAAGACTTGCAGCTGTTGACATACGCCCAAAGAAACTACAACAAAGTATCCATGCTATAAGAACAGTCAACTATAAGTACAATCGTACATATTTATTTATATACTTATTTATATTTATTTGAACGTCAAAAAAACAAGTAATCAGACAATCAAACTGATGGAATTACATTTGTTAGTCCAAACTACAAAGTCATAAATAAAATGTGAAGAGTAAAATACATGATGTGAGTAGCCTTTTTCAAGTGGCCATATGAAGTCGGTGCCCAAATAATGTCATGATGCGCATGATGTCACACATGTCTCCCCACCCATGCCCACAATACATTTAACTGGATTACTGAATTCTCTTGTTTTCTGAATTAGCATATGTTAACCCATCAAGTAAACAAACAGGCTGGGTTTTCCTGCACACAAAGCCACAAAAATATTAAAAAAGAAAACTTAAACAATGAACCAGTCTTGAAACTAACAAAGCTGACCTTACTTTAAGAATAAAGCTACTTGGTCTTTACTTAAACTGGTTTGGCCTGTTATACAAATCTTCCTGATGCGTCATAGCCTGTAGAATATCAAAATATTTGTATAAATAATCAATCATATCTTGAAATAAGATGGCAAATCTTGAGCGTAGTAATACAATCCTTCCTGCCCAGTGCTGGAACATTTTTTTACTTTGGTTATTTCTGTTTTGGTTTTTGTCCTATGGGGGGGGGGGGGAATCTACAGCAATTTCATACTATAACTACTATTCCATAGCCTTAACAATCTCTGGGTCCATATGTAAACAACTAAGATCAGAAGTGCACCTGGTTCCCCCACTACCACTTTCACACCTCCCTATGCAAATTTCTTCCAAGGTAGACTCATGTAATGGTATGTGAGAAAGACCCTGAGAGATGGAGCAAAGAGATGCTGCCTAGGAAACAGTCAGATAAGAGAGGGCATAGCCCACAGCTGCATAATGGATGGAGCAAGAGGCTCAGAAGAGACCCTCCCTAGTTTCTCGGGCTGCAAAGGAGAAGGCGGGAGAATTGTACTTTCGGACTTGCAAGATTTTGTTAATGCAGCCTTACAATACAGTGCAATTATCTCATTTGGTTGTGTTTCCTGTCTGGGCTACCTGGGAAGGCTGAGAAATCCTTGAGAGATGGATGCAAGCAAAGAAGCAAGGCTATGCAGGTTGGCCATTTTACTGGGGGGATGAAGGGAGCGTATTGGTTTTGAACTGCCCGCCCTTCTTTCCTTCCCAGGGCTTGGAGGAGGACAAACTGACCCTCAAAGTCATTGCTGATCTGCAGCAGCTCATCAGTGTCAAGGATCCCTCTATGCTTGGCCTGGAAGTGCTGGGATTCATGTCAAAATATCCTGATATCAGGTAGGGCGCTCAAGTTGTGAAAAAAGGACAATTTCCCATCTTCTAATTGCAACATCCTCTGGCATCAAATCTGCATTTGGGGACTGTATGAGAAGCCCAGAAACTGCTGTATAGTGTCCTTTTAACACAAAATACCCAGGACAGACTCTAGTCCCTTAGAGATTATTAGGCATCATTAAAGGTACTGGATAGTTTTATTTATTGTGAAGTGTTTGTTATCTTTACAGATGCTTTTGATTTCATATAAGTGTTATTAGCCACCCAGGGTCATTAGAGAAGACAGCTTACAAACCTGGGTAAATAAGTACAATATCTTTCTGTTCAGCTATTGTTCCATCCCCAAACCCAAAGTGAAAAAATTTCTAGGAGTTTCCCAGTTGAGAGTCTGACTGCACGCTGCACTGGTAGGATCATGCTGGCCCTGCAGCGTATCTAGAGGGCAGGCTGGGGTTGGAGAAGACAGCAGTAGAGAAAGCTGATAGCAAATAAGCTATCCCACAGAGAAACTCCTTCTTTATTGATCCCAAGGCCTTCCTGCAGAGTTGTCAGAAGAAGAAGCCAAAGAAAAAGGCACTGGGGTGTTTGTGTATGTGTATGTGTGTGTGTGTGTGTTTGTGTGTGTCTCTCTCTGTGAGACTTCTCCCCTTGGGTCTCTACTCAGGGTTTCTGATAAAGTGAAAGCTGATGTGATAATCAAATCGATAGGTTAGTCTTGAAGGGGTCATAAAAGCCTTTCTTGTATTTGCTGTAAAAGTTGTAAAACAGCTACCCTTCTGGAAATTGTTGTTCATGTTGTTTCTCCAGCGAGGACCACATTTCCATGTTCTTATACTCGCGTGGCGACATCTCCAAAGAAATCTGCAATAATGTGCTGGAAATCATGGTGCAGAATCCTCAAGTCCTACCGGAGAATTATGATCCCATTTTTAGCAATATCTTGGTCCCTGCTCCAGAGCTGCCCTTCTGCTTCAGCAAGTCCAAATGTGCCTGAGAGTTCCTCAGCTGCTGTTGCCAACTGTCTCCCCGACCATCTCTGAATTCACTGACCTGCCCAGATTGCAGCTGGCAGCCCTAGCAAGGTGGAGAAACTTACTGTATGCCAACAAGCACTGCACCATTTTGTGGGGGCAGATGGAGGAACTTCTTTTAAACTGGACAAATATCAACTTTCTCTTTATTTTGCATATCCACAAGTACCTTTTCCAGTTTCAGTGTTCTAAATATAACTGGGCACACTGTTCAGTTCAGCTAACGATGATTAAAATTCTCTTTCTTGCATATGTGTATATAAATTTCCTGGGACTTTTAAGTTTCTGTTCTTTGTTTGCTCTTCAGGAAACATCTACGTACGTTTCTGAAAAGAAACTGTAAATATGAGCTGCTTGAGGCAAGCAGTGCCTTAGATGTAGAGACATCTCAGAAAAGACTTTGCATTAGTCCCTTAATATTTATCTTCCTGAGAGGATGGGACCTTATTAGATATCTGAGTTAGGAGAATGTGGAAGAAGGTGTTTCGTGAGAGTTTCGGAATCTAAACAGTACAGTTCTTGAAAGGTCAAATCCCTCACCATAATGTTGGGTCCACAAAGTAGAAATACAACAGCAAAGCTTATCAACGTTAATCAGTGTCTGCCAGAGCCTGACAGGTCCCATTATCAATGTTTGAGATTCCCTTTTACAATTCCATCATTCTTAGTAATGCTGAATGACCAGGACCAACTGCCATTGAATTTTTTTTCCCAAAGTCCTGATGTGGTGCTGTGTTTTTAGGTGCATTGTGGGAAATAAAAACAACAGCTAGACCAAAGTGTCTGGTGGCTCTTGTCAGGATGTGTTAATGGATGAGAGGGCGCTTTACCCAGAGTTTGCTCAAATCTGGAATCGGCTACAGTAGGTGCGCTACAGTTTCATCAGCCCATACAATCGGACAAGATATGCGAAGATGCTATACCTGTTGACATTTTGAACTGCTCTCCATGGGTAGGTAACAATATCCAGACTGGAAGTCTGCAGGTCATAAATAACAACATCAAAGGATGCACTTCTATTTTAATCACATAAGATGTGAATACACAACCTGCATTCTCCAAAGTGTTTGGGCAGCCTCATTCTCCTCCTTCAGCTTCTTCATCCAGAGCTTCTATGATAGCCACATAGCAGTGATGAGGTCGCAGAATGAGCTGCAACTGCTGCTGGCAAATTTCAAGGTAAATGGAACTGAAGCGGACGGGGATTAAGAAAAATGGGGACCTTCCATGGTTGTTTCCATGGCTGGCAGTAGGCTAGAACCTGGGTGTCTCTGGTCTTAGGACGGTACCTTCACCACTACACCACAGTGCTTGGGCTGTGAGATAATCAGTGGTTTAATGTCACCTCTGAGCTTCTGTTGCTGAATAGGGACTAGAACCTGGGTCTCCTTAGTAGAGTCCCATGCCTTAACCACTGAACTACATTAGCTTTGTACTTTCAGTCAATATACTGTACAGTAATAGGCCAGTTAAAGCAAGCAGGGGCTTAAAGGTTAAGAACCAAAACAATTTAACTCTATCCTGGAAAAGCAGATATTGTATATACTTGTGGATGAGCCAAAAATGTTAGATTCCAAAATACACCCAAGAAATTGGGTTTGGCTTATCCATAGATGGGCTTATCCACAAGTATATACAGTACTTGTTTTTCCCCTATGAAGGCTGCTGCCTGTCAAGGGAAGGTCACAGCCAAAGCAAACCACTTGGAGCTCTTTCGTCATCCAGCTGCAGTCCTCAAGGCTCTTCCCTTGGGGTCAGTGGTTGAAGGAAAGAAGGGACAAATCAGACTGATTAGTTAAATCACAGATGTGACATTGTGGAAAGTTTCTCCATGTAGCAAAGAAAGAAAGAAAATATGTTGAACTTAAGTAATATAAAAAAATGTGTGTGTGTGTGTGTGTGTGTGAATTAAGTAATTCAAATAAACACAAGGGTTGAGTGTTGGAAGTAAATTAAAAAAAAAACCTAGCTGGACTGGGGATGCAAATATTGGGGGGAGGTGGGCAGGGGAGAAAATAAGTAAGTAAGTAAGTAAGTAAGTAAGTAAGTAAATAACAGATGGGTTTTATTCTGTGAAAGGTCTTTGATCTGGTCACTTGGAATCACTTGATACAAAAAGGATATTGGGGGAAAATGCTAGTTTGGGTTCTTGTATCTCTTAAAAGAGAGAAGCTGGCAGATCTGAAAATCAGTAGGTACAAAGCTTGGCACCAGATGTAATTGAGCAGGGAGAAAATACTATGGCTGGAGCCCTGGATCAAGAGCACCACCTCTCATATTGCCACATTCCTGGCAAATGCTTCACTGGCAAGAAAGCACCCAAACCAGATCTTACTAAGAGGTTAGTATGCAAGTTATCATCACTCCAGTCCTTAAGGGAGAAAGGCAATCCAACTCTCTTTTTGTGACATGACCAACATTCCCCTTTCTCCGGACTGCAACGCTGAAATTCAGCATCTGTACTGGGCAGAGTTGAAAATAGTGTTCTGGCATGAAAGAGGAAGCAACTGCCACCCAGCCAGAGTTCATGGAGGTAGTTTCATAACCTCAGTTAGCCTAAACTGATTCCCCCTTTGTACTCAGATCTAGAACTTCTTAAGAGTCTTGTGAAAGAAAGAGAAAGAGTCTTGTGAAAAAAGAGTCTTCTGCAATTGTTAGTTATGCAGAGTTGGGAAATGCTTTCTCTATCTCCTAGTAGTTTCGCACTGTAGCAACTCATAGGTTATATTACACCTTTGAGATAGACTTCACTCTTTATCCATTACAGGCAGTAATTTTGGAGTAAAAGAGTTCCTCTTAATCATACCAGCATCACATCATACTTATTTCCAGTAATCTACTGTCACAAATACTCTTCTAAGCCAGTTTTCAGACTGGAGGGAGAAGTCCGGTGGTCCCAGGATCACCTTGAATATTATAAATGGGGGGAAGGGTTTGCAGAGCACCTTTTGCTCCTTTGACTGACCTGAGAGACATCTTTCCACCTGAACCAAATCTTTCCACGCACTGAGCTAAGTTATACTTGAGAGTATGCATGCACAAATATAGGTACACAAAGACAAGAATGTCATGATTTAAACTGAGATGACAATACTTACATATGCAAAAAAACTCATAAGAGTAGCCATAATGGATCAGAGGACTGGCCAATCTAGACCAGTCCTGTGTTTTTTTAATGGCCACCTAGATGCCTAGGAGAAACCAACCTAAGGACATAATGCCCTACTGCTCTTGTTTCCTAGCAACCGTTATCAAGAACTATATTTGCTCTTGACCTGAAGATAATGTATAGGTATCCTGACTGCTAGCCACACAGAGCCTTAACTTTCATCAGCTTATCTAATCTTCTTTAAAGCTGTCAATCCGATGCCCATCACTTTATCTTCTGATGGTGAGTTCCAGTTTGACTACAAGCCACATGAAGCAGCACACTTCCTTTTCATCTGTATTGGCTCTCCTACTTTTTAGTTTCAGCAGATTACGCTGGAGGGAGAAAAATATTTCCTTATCCACTTTCCCTCTCTACATATAATTTTAGCATGGTGTCCATTACTCTTAAAAAAAAAATTAAAAGCCTCAACACTTGTAACCGTTCCACAGAAGGGAGTTGCTCCACCCCTGAAATATGCTGTTTTTTGCACTTTCTCTAATATTCTTCCTGATGTGCAATGACCAGAATTGTGTTCAGCATTCCACGTTTCACCATTTACTTCTATGAAGAGGTGATGATATTGGCGATTTTATTTTTGATTCCTTATTTACTGAGTCACACCATGGAACTAGCCTGTTTCACAAAAGGCTAAGACTGAGTCTACATTCAGCACCACCATGACATTAAATGCCCTCTCCTGGTGAGGGTTTATTCAATTTATTTTAATCCATATTAATGAGTGGCTGTCATCACATCCTCTGTAGTAGCAAAGTAATCTGTTCAATTCAACCTTCTTGAATTAAACAAAGAACAGGTAAATAGGTGTACTCTCTTCTGGCAGTCTAAAATTCAGAATTAAGGGAAGGCAAGAGAGGGAGGGAATTAAAACAGAAAGGAGGCCCAACACATCTGAAGGTCAGAAAAAGATACTCTAATGTGATATGCTTATTTGCATATATGTTTCAAACAAATACTAACTGAATTATTTTCCATTTGGTTTCCAATAGCAGTAGCCAACTGGATTTTCTGGGGCAGCCCTATTTGCAATACACCATCTATTACAGGAGATAACTGGGGGCATTCATCAATGCTCAGCAGCAGCCCCACTCTTAGACACTAACTCAGTGTTTCTCAGCCATGGCATGGCTGGCTGGGGAATTCTGGGAATTGAAGTCCACACATCTTTAAGTTCCAAGATTGAGAAACACTGCCCTAGCTGCTTTTTATGTTCGTTCCTTGTAACAGTTCAAAGTGGTGCGGAATAAAATACAGAATAAACGATACACCATCTCTAAATACAATAATGAGAAACAATTGTGTTGAGAAGCAGAAAGAAAGCAATCAACAGTTGGAACTGGGTTCAGATGTTTGAATTCACTGTTTTAAACACTTAAAGTGCAATGGGATTTGGTCCCAGAGCATATATATATCAAGAAAACGGGTAGTCATTTCTCCTCTCTATTAACCACCACTGTTCCTCAAAACAGCAACAAGGAAAATCTACAGTATTTTGAAATTACAACAGGAAGTAATGCACTGCAAAAGTAAAGTAGGAAACTTGCACTCTCAAATCACAAAGAATCCCCACAAAACCCACATTTCCATGAAGTGTCTTTTTCAGAAAATACCTCATCAGATTCTTATCAAGTCCTCTTCGGATGGTAATACTACCACTCTTTGCTGCATTTGTTGGATTTCTTTGCCTCACATTGATCTGATCATCATTAAAATATGGTTTTGTGTAGTCATGCATGAGTCACTGAAGCCATCCATACATTGCACTGAACTATAATCTAGTTTGATGTTGGTTTAGCATGGTGTATGAACTCAGCCATCGTGATTTAATATGTTGCATGAATTCAGCTAATTGTGACAAACCCTGGAAAAACAATCCATGACTTAGCAGCAAGGGGAAACACTGTGTTTGTCCGTCATCTTTTCACTGGTATACCCCTGAAGAAAGATTAGAAGTTTTTAGTTCATTTTTTCCATTAAAAGTATCTTTTGTTATGGATAAGCCAGAAATGAGTTAATTCAGCTTAATTAAGCAAACAAATCAGGTTCACAAGCTAAAGTTTGATGTTTGCACATCTCTCTAAACTCCAATAAGGTCTAACCACAGTTAGTTTAGACCTGGATACAGTAAGCCACGGTTAATTCAGAAGCAAAAATTACTAATCTCTTCTGTACGACTGCTCTGGAGGAGGAGAGGAGCAATACAACTACAGGGGGAAAACAACGAAACAATCAAATGAGTCACACAGAAGAAAATAGAAAATCTCCAAACTGCCATAATGGGATTGCCAATATCCTCAAGTCCCTCAAATAGTTCTCTGAAGACCTTTATTCTCACCTGAGTTTCTCCATCCCCAACACCTCTGAAACCTTCCCTTATAGTCCTTTCTAGACGCAGAGATTATGCTCAACTCAGAAAATAAGTTTACTACCCAGTTTGTTCCCTGTCCTTCTCAACTACAGAGTCTGCATGGAAACAGTATTGTCCTTAGCTGATTTTTCCTCGGTATCATTGTGCACTTTTTCAAACAATTTCGCAAAGTTTGTCTCGCGTAGCCCACCACGGAAACTCCGCGCTGCAAAGGCATAAAGAATAGGGTTGATGCAGCTGCTTAAAAAGGCCACAGCCCCATGAAGGTTTGTTAAAGTTTTAATGGAGTCAAGTAAAGCTTGGGTCACCTCCGGCTTGGCATATTTCAGCAACAGTGCAGAGATGATGATGAGGTTTAAGACATGATAAGGGAGCCAGCAAACAAAGAAGGCTCCAACTACTGCAGCAATCAGCTTCCCAGTTTTCATTTTCTTGTGGTTTTTCAGAGTCCGAATCTTCCTCATCACGTAGGTGTAGCAGACTGCCAACACAGCAAAAGGGATCACAAAGGCAAACAGTGTCTCCACGATGTTAACTGCAAGGCGCTGGCCATCAAACTCATAAAACTCATCCGAGCACTGCCCTTTGGTCATCTGGCTGGATGAGAATATCAAGCTCGGGCAGGAGAAAACCCCTGCTAGCAACCAAACAGCCAGCAGTACGACATGCGTCCCCCTTGGCTTCCGCCATCTTTGGGAAGCGAATGGAAGGACCACAACAGCAAAGCGGTGGAGGCTCAATAACGTGATGGAGAAGATGCTGGCATAGACTGTCAAATATACAAGGTATATGAGGAATCGGCACATGAAGTCTCCAAAAACCCAGTCTTTGACAAAATAGTAAATCCAGAAAGGCACAGTCAGCATTACCATTAAGTCAGCCACAGCTAAGTTCAGGATGAGGGCGATGGTGAATGAGCGCTGGGGGAATGTGGAAAGGATAGTCCAGACCACGAGACCATTCCCAGGGACCCCAATCAGGAAGCATATAGTAAGAAACATGCTTGGAATCAGGCTGGTCTCCACCCATCTTGCCTTGGTCCCTGTCAGGTTGGCTGGTATCTCTGTGGCATGAAGGAGGGCCATCATGTGTCCATATAGCCTTTGTATAAAGCCAAGAGAACTTCAGGACAAAACAAGAACATGCACAGGATTGTTACTGAGTCAACAAGATCCCCAAGCTCCTCTTTGGGAGGGGCCAGTTTCCTTTAAAAATATTTTTTTAAACTCACACTAGGACATCCTGATTGGTTTTGCAAAAGATGTACATGAGAAATAGAGAGGCTTTCTCTCTCCAACCCACTTCCTTTCAGAGGATGCTTGCCTGTTGCCCAATTCCTAAAAATGTTCTGCTTTGATGCCTGTAGTGGTGTTAGTAGGGAAGGAGCTACACAGAATGGAGCTAAATCACGGGCCACAGCACGTGGTGCTCCCAGGAAGGACCCCAGTTACAGTCTCCACACTTCTTGGAGAAAGGATGATAAGATGTTAAAGAGACCCGATGGAAAGGAGTGAAGGCTTAGAAATGGTTGAGTGAAAAGAAGACCACGGCGATTAGGCCAAGCCTGAAACTCTAAAAACTGACAGTTCTGAGCTTTGGGTCTGTTGTTCAGCCTGAAAAAAGGAGACCGTTATGGGAAACAGGTGCTGAGTGCAACTCTGTGGCGCTGGTGGGGAAGCGTCCTTGGTGAGGCACCTGCAACAGGCAACCAAAGCTAAATTTAGTCTGCTCCTACTATCATCAATTCAAGGATAGGTGGGAGGGGAAGTCGACTACAACTGGCAGAAGTGCCGTGGGTCACAGGTGGCCTGCCAATAAAAGCCCAGCAGCACTGGGGGACCTGAAGCTTCCTGGGGGTACCAACTGAAATGGCTTTCCTGTGGGCAGCTCTTACTTATCTAGCGCTCCTTGGCGTTGCCTGTGGTGAGTAGAGCATATGCTGCCTTGTAGAGTGCTTGCTTCCTTCCGATTCTTTCTTCACGACCGATGGAGCATGCAGCTCCTATGGGGGACATGCAAAGTTCATTGCTTGCAACACATCACACACAAGCACACACCACGCATTGCCAAATTCACAGGCCTGCTTGCCTGATGGATCTCCCCTGCAAACAAGAGCAATAGGGTGGGAAAGGAAAAGTGCTTCCTACTACAACCCTGGGGCGTTCCTGTACTCTTATTTAAGATGAACTGTAAATAACTCCAAGGATACATCCAGGTAGTTTTCTGGCAATTAAAATAGTTTCTTATGGGTTGCTTTTGTCAGCTCCATCAGGGCATTTTTCAAAAAAATGCTCTGCTGTATAATCTTATAATGCAGACAAAGGGGGAAATGATTAACTATATGGGGAGCAATATTGAGGATAGTTAATTTAAATTAAAACAGACATTTACATTGAGTTAAATCAAATGGATTTTTGCCCTACTTTGTCCTGCAAATTTTTGGAATGCAGACTCTTGCCCACATGCATCACTCAAAGGCCAATTATGGCCTCTTCAACTTGAAAAATAACGGTGCCCCTACTCTAGAGCCTAGTGCATAACAACCAACCAGTTCCCACTGAGCTCCTGCATGTAGCTGTTGGTTTCTCTGAGCTCTTCAAGAGTAGGCAGCATGTGAACAAGTCTGAGCAACCCTCCCCAACCTTCTTGTCTTGCACAGAAGACTACTCTCAGTCCAGACCTGAGATACCTACCAGAATCACCCTCCCTTTGTCTTTTCTTAGGCTGTGGGATCCCAGCAATTAAGCCCAATGTGAGGAACACGGAGAGAATTGTCAACGGAGAGAATGCTATTTCTGGTTCTTGGCCTTGGCAAGTCTCACTGCAGGTAAGGACACCCCCCCCCCCACCTTGGTCATTGGTAGGTCAGTAGTGTGGGGGAGAAATAATATTCTCCTCAGAATAATATTATCCTTCATCCATGATGCTGAACTGCATATTAGGCACTGCAGGCAAGCTGAAGCTACCTGATGACCCTGGAACAGGAGACAACAGATACCAGGTTATTGTCTGGTGTGAACTGAGTCAACATATTGGCACAATAAAAGACATTGTTTATGTTAGAAGGTGCTAGTATAGAAAAGGCAGGCTTGGAGCCTCTTTAGAAGAGCAAAACGTCAAGGCGCAGGGTCAGATCATAATAAAGGCAACATATGTCGTTATCAGATCCTACATTCTTGCAGTAAAGGTTGTGTTATAATTTATACTGCTTTTGTAAGCCCTATTATCATTTTACAGGGTATATAACCTGTACACTTGTGGGCCTTGTGGCTCCTGCAATCCTCTGGCGAGGAGCCCAGTGATCACTCTCGTTGTGTATGTCAAGAAAGGATACTTGATTGCATCTATCTCCAAATGCTTTGGGCCCTTCTTTAAATTAATAGACCTTCAAGGGTTCTTCCCCACAACCCTTGAAGGTCTACTAATCCCAGTTTAAATTCTAGATTGTTTTGGTAAATCTGCCACTTGTAAAAGCAAAGAAACAAACAATTGGATGAGAGGTGTTTGGGATAACAAGGCTATCCTTTTAAGATATAATGTTAGCGCATGGTGAGAATAGGTTAGGGTGGACTTGAAGCTGCCACAGAACTAAAAACCTTGTTGTTGTTCATAAGGCAGTATTCCTGCCTGGTAGATATTACAACATTTTTTTTTAAATGTGGAAATGTCGTATTTGTTGACTTTCAGAACATATGCAGGCACTTGTATGCATCTTTCCTATATAAAAATATTCATAGAAATTGCTCAAAATGATCTTTTAAAATGTAAATAAACTCTGTTTTTTGAAATCCAAGACTCCTTCCCTGAGGTCGACTTTTTTTCCCCAGCACACATTTCTCTGTTGTATAAACTTTTTAAAAAATGTTAACTACCGCTGTTTGTATGCAACTTTTACTACTGTACCTTCTTTTTGGATTCCTGGTAGAGTGTGATTTTTTTGAAGGCAGATGTTAGACAGAGTGAATTTGCTGCTACTTTTGCATCCAAAGTGAGCAGAATGTTCAGATTAATTGCCAACGAGATCTGGCTTTAGAATTCATTCACATACTTGGGACTCATTCAGATTGGGAAAGGTAGAACTACAGATTTTTTTTTCCTGCTCTGTTTAGTTTGGTCCTCAAAAAAATGAAAGGGGGAAGCAAAGAGGGGACAAATAAGGAACATGAACTTGCCAGACAGCCTTTGCTTTCTTGATGCATTTTACCCTTCAAATCTCTGTGCTATTTGGAACTTTTTTTTCTAGACCAGCTCAAATGCCCATTTCTGCGGTGGTTCCCTGATCAATGAGAATTGGGTTGTTACTGCTGCTCACTGCAATGTGAAGTAAGTAAAACCTTTCCATTTTTTTGTTATATTGACCACCTACAGGCACCATGTTACCAGTTTCATTGGGAATCTTCAGATACAGGTAGCCAGGTGTTATTCTATGGGGTTCAAACCCTCTACTGGGAATTGAATTCACAGACCTTCACATTTTAGGACTATATACAGTGCATTAGCTTTATCCACGTCTTGGCAGAAAGAGATCTACAGAAGCTCTCAGAATAATATATACTGTCCACCTTTCCTTAAGCTCTCAAAGGAGCGCCTGTACTTCTCTAATGGAAGGTGGACTTCCATTTTCTTGGTAACCAGTGATAGGTTATCAATGGGGAAGAATGACTGGTGAATTCAAGCAGTGATCAGGCAGGCACTGTCTGCCCTGAGTAGACCTCCAAGAACAGTAAAGCACAGTAATCAAGTTGAGGGATTATAATCTCAAGTTCAAACCTTTCCTTCTTTCCGTGCCAGTTTATAATTACCCACTACTTTTTGGCTCAATCCATCTCACAGCTGTAAGAAAATGAAATGTAGGATAAAATACTGATGTTGCCCTGAGCTTAGAGGAAGGGTGCAATCAAGCTATAAATAAACTGTGTCAAAAAATGAGGCCAAGTACAATTTTTCAATTGTTTCATCAGATTATATAATACTTTTTTGTTTACTTCCGAAAGCCAAAACAGCTCTCAGACTTAGCTTATGTAAGAGCAATAACAAGCAGGACTGTTCCTATTCTTAGACTTACAATATACAAGGAACAAATAAAAGGAAGATGGGACAAGGAGGAAAGAAGGAACCAAATTAATTCAGACAACCATTCCTAAAGTTGTTCAGTACTTCTTTGCTGAAATAGGAATCACTGAGAAAACACAGCTTGTTTCCATCATTGTTTAGCACTCCTAGAATGTGTTTAGAGATGAGCAACTTGAAGCCCCAGATCAGCACATACTTTCCAAACATTTTTTAAAAACACCATGAAGTCATCTGCTGTTACTACTGTCATAAATTAATGGACCAATTTCCCATAATTTTCAGGTGGTGAATATACAAAAACAGTAGTGTCAGCCCTACTTACATGAAAATGTAAGTCTTTCCCTCCCATAAAAGAAAAAGGAAATCCTGGCCATGAAAGATGACTCCTTTGCATCACTGCCTTGTCCACTCTGGCCTTTGGACTTCTGACCATCCAAAGGTCTTATCTGGTTTAGCAATCTCTTTCCTGATCTGTATCTCCAAACTATTCCATCCCTTTCCAAACTACTGAATCAAGAAAATGAGATTCAACCATTTGAATCTCAGCTACGGCTATCTTTAGCCCACTTCTTCCATCTCCAGCTCTAAGAGGTTGACTTATGTCTCAGTGCTATGTTCAATTTTGGTACATGTGTGCATCAGACAGAAGAAGGTCACAATAGCATGTTAGAATCAACATAAGACATACGAGTGTTTTTATTTCTCCAGACCAAGAACTCATTTTGCTGTCCTTGGAGAGCATAACAGAAACTCTGGAGCTGAGCCAATCCAAAGGCGATCCATAATCCAGGTAAGCAGGTCACTCGGCACCATGTTAGACTCCAGAAAGAGAATGCATCAGGCAAGGAAAGTACATTCAGGAGCCAAGGGGCAGAAGCAAGACCACAACTGCCTTCTTTACATTTTTTTGTCCCCCCTGCAGACACCTCTGGATCAGCATCTAATCATGTGTGGCTTGTAATGGAATACAATTTAAAATTATTTCTTATTGATGCTCATTCCACAGAGCAATGCAACACCATGGCCTGGCTTGTATGTCATGACAACCTGTTATGCTAAGCCACGGTTTGTTAAATAAAGTATAATTGGCCTAATTTGTACAGTACACTAAGCTATAAAATCTGGTCTACAAATTATGTTGGCTGGGTTTACCGATAATGCTAAGCCAAAATAAACACTGAAGCACCTTATGCCTTACTGCACTGGGTGATCCAGGATAATGGCTATTGACTTTCCTTCTTCACTTTTCAATGTGGAATAATTTATTTCAGTCTAGCATTGCCTCTTTCAATATCTGCAGACCCACATCTATTTGAACCTATATTTCCTTCATATTAATATCTATTCTAGCTATCTCTGCATTAAAATAGCAGCTATACGAGCTTTCCCCAACTTAGTGTTTCCTAGATGCACTGGACTGTAATTCTCAATGATGTTGTCTGGGGATGATGGGAGATGCAACCCCATACATCTGGAGGACACTATATTGGGAAAACCTCAAACTCTTTTCCTGCTCTTATCTTCTTTTTACTGTCATCCTTTAGAGATTCTTAACAAAGAAAAAGATAGCACTCATATAATCTATGATTTAGGTCAAGATCTAAAGGCTATAGAGAAACCAGATATTTCCACATTCAGACCTAGCAGTTTTCAGTCTTGCATAATCATATTGCAGATGATCTTGTTTTTGGTGTGGACAAAGCTTTCAAGAGCCTAGCAGGCAGAGGTATAAGATATTAAATCAAGCAGATATTAATTCTTTAAGGTTTTCTCCCTCCACACCTGATGTTTTCCAGGCGATCACCCATCCTTCCTGGAATGCTCAAACTTTGAATAATGACATCACTCTGTTGAAGCTGTCTGCCCCAGTCCAGCTGAACGCCCGCGTTTCTCCTGTCTGTCTGGCTTCTCCCACAGAGTCTTTGCCCTCGGGACTAAAGTGTGTCACAACTGGATGGGGACGGACTAGTGGGACTGGTAGGTGGCCATTTGGGTAAGGCAGGCTGGGAAAAGCCAAAGCAGAAAGAGAAGATACCCAGCCTGCCTTCTTCAATTCAGTCTGACAATTCTGACTGGTTGCTTTTTCACCCCCCACCCCACTTTTTTTTTTTTTTTTCCAGCAAGCGGCTCTGCAATCATATTGCAGCAAGTTGTTCTCCCCTTGGTGCCTGTAACCCAGTGCCAGCAATATTGGGGCAACCGCATCACCAGTTCCATGGTATGTGCCGGTGGGGCTGGCGCCTCCTCCTGCCAGGTAAGGTTCCCAGGGAAAAGGTATCACGGCAGAGCATTGAATAGAGGGAGGGAGGTTCTCTGTGTCCAGCCATGGATTTATTTTTGCACTGTAGAGAAATGCACCCAAAGATATTCTTTAGCTTCTCAAAATTTTGGTCATGCTGGAGGACGTCTTATAGTTCCACCCATCCAAAGGATACCAGGGTGCCAACCATGACCTGCAGATGTGGCACTGAAGTAAGGGCTTTCTAAAACAATTTCTTTAGGTTAAGGTCAACTCCTGGTGGCATCAAGGACACAACTATGTAGTCTTCTTGGCAGCCAAACAAAAATGACTGGCCACTGCCTTCTTCAAGGCTGCTATTTCAGTTTCGCAATCTAATTTACAATCCTAGATTGCCCCAGAGGCCTCCTATCCAAGTACACATTGGGATCCATCCTGCTTAGTTTTTCTGACCCCAGGCAAAAGCTGCTACCTGATGAGAAAAGGGTTTTCTTAAAAGCATTTGCTTTTCTTGCCCTTCAGGGTGATTCTGGTGGCCCTCTGGTATGCCAGAAAGGCTCGGTATGGAATCTGATTGGGATCGTCTCCTGGGGTACATCCAACTGTAACGTCAGGGCTCCTGCTGTTTATACCCGAGTCTCCAAATTCCGCAACTGGATTGATCAAGTGGTAGCTAGAAACTGATGACACCCCTGGGAAGCACAAGACAAATGCTGTCATTCAGTGTAAGAAATCTGTCAACGTACCTTCTTCCAACTGAGATATGGAAAAATCAAATCACTTCAAAGGAAAAAAATCTTCCTCCAATGATGGTCTGTCATACTCATCAGTGAAGCAGACTAGTAACTTTCTTCAAGTGTCTTCAAGTTCTTTCTTCAAGAACTCTGAACCTAGTTCCAGCTGTGTAACATCTCAAACAAACAATAAATTTTTAGGGCATTCATTTTTAATAACAGCCATATTTTTAGACCGTTACTGAAAATCTGCTGATATGCTTTGGCATCTCTTAACTATTGGCAAAATAGATCCACATAGAAGCCACTTTGTCCAGATGTGGGCTGTATTCTATTCTTTAATTATCTGATCAGACAACAACAACCACAAAAGCAAGTTTTAGAAATATTAACCCTGGAAAATACAGAAAATAGGAGACAGTTTAAGAAATTTTGTCCCATCTCACAGGATTTGACAAAGCATATTACAATACATAGGAGCCACAACCAGTCCTCTCTCTTTCATTCATATAACTAATTAAAGCAAGCTCCGAAACTGGTGTTCCCCAAACTCCTTAATATGGCCTGCAGGCCACTCCAAAAACTGCTGTCTAATTGTAGGTTTGATGGACAGGAGAAATTATTGAATACAGGAAGAATATTCGAATTAGCTACAACTACTTTAAAACAATTGCGTTTATCCTAATCTCATCCACCAACCTGAGTTCAAAAGTGCAGGTTCCCACTTGAAAAAGCCTGCCCTTTAATTAGAGCATTTATTGCAACCACGCCCAACAAAAAGAACGCCACCAATCCGTGAGGATCAACATTTTACTGAATAAAAGGTTACATTTACAAATTTTAAAAACAGACTGAATACACAAAATAAATAATTCCATACACTAATTTCAACATTACAGGTTAACTGTCATGCATCAAATCACCCTCTAAAAAAGTAGAGATTCCATAGTGTAAAAAAAGCCCCAAAGGCACCACGGACAAAAATCACAGATATGAATACTTGAGAGGAAGAAGGGAGGGGGCACACTGACCTATGAAAAAGAGAGAACTCAGGTTCTAGGAACAATTCTTTTTAACAATTTGGATGTTGTTGGGTGGGAAGAAGTATCTGTGAAGTCAGACTCAGTTCCTTGGAGGACTTCCAAAAGATGCTGTAGGGCCAAAAGTGACGTATTCATAGCACACAGATATGGGCAGGAAGGCAGCAAGATACAGCCAAGGGCTGCTGGAGTACAGAATATTTGGAAAGTACCCCCCCCCATCCCACTTGTCTGAAAGGAATAACTTGTCATGCTGGTATAAAAAACATTTTCTATGTTGGGCTCCAGACAACCCTGAGGTTCTCTGAAAGTCTATCAAGCATTAATTGGTGACCAAAACTGTAATAGTTCTCAATAAAATGGCCAGTCCCTCCCTGCTGAGCAATCCCATCATTGTACAGCTGCTAAGAGGCATCTCTAGGCACTCTGTACACAGAATTAGTAGTTTGGCCAGCTACTACTGCTCAGGATATTCCCATCAGAAAGCTGCCCCATCCTCCTGTCTACTCGGGTACTTCAGTGAATCTACAGGACTTCCTTCCTAAGGCAGATGGTTTGGAAAAGAAAGCTTGCTGAACCAAACTGAGAAAAAGCAAAAGCAGTTGCAGGCAACAGAGCTTTCCCCCAGGGGAACCTATCCAAGGGTGAATTTCACATTTTTTATATAGTTTCTGCTTCCATGTTAGATGGGGCCCAAAGTGACACCCAAAAGTTCAAAATTGCCACTGAGATTTGTAATGGTTTTTGCCCTCCTTTGAACAAAGGAGGCCCTTCTGTCACATCAAACTTCTTTCAACACACTGAATTTCAACAGCAGTTTGTAGCACAACACAGAGAGAAAGGGAACTGGTTTGGACTTATTAAGTATGCATCACCAGTGAAGTGGTTCTTTGGACTGTAGACTAGTTTGTAATTTAATCCTGGGTTTCCAAGAAGAGTGACTGAGTGGTTTAAATAAGGCACTAACTGGCAGAATAGCATCTGTATCAATCTTGAGATAAAGGCAACTTTCTGAAAGTATTGGCAAAATTACTGATGTGGAATTATGCATCTGATTCCATTCCCAAATGCTTTTTCCTGGTGTTCTCCAGGTTGCAGAACTCTATTTACAAAGACTTGAAGAACACAAGTCTACTTTAACTCCATCTTCACCCCACACTTATTCATCAAAGCTGAAACTTCCACTTATAGCAATCCTAGTCATTCACTGAACAAGATAGGAACATTTAAAGGCCAACCTTGGCATTAGGGCAGAAACAGGAGGTTTGCTGAAAATGATATCCTATTGTCAACTCTCCACTAGCTGCAGTTCCCCAAAATGGCCACTTCCGGCAGGGAAATCCATGCTGCGACATTGGTGCACCATGGACTAGTAAGCAGCGGAAGGTTGTGGCCCTCATTGTAAGAAGTCTCGGAATCTGCAAGAATCTCTTCCAGGCAATACTTCCATGAGAAGTGCAGCTTTTGCTGGCTTGTGAATTGCAGTCACAGTACATTTCCACATTTGGATCCTCCTCCACTGCGGAATAAAGTCATTAAGAAGCCAGAAGTGTTAAAGCACCGTCTTGTGACTCAGTGGAAATGTTGGGAAATGTTGGAACTTGTGGTTCATATGAAATGTTGGGAAATGTTGAAATGTGGCTCATAAGAAATGTTGTAAAATTATTGGGATAGGATAAAGTGCAAGAGTTCCTGGATCAAAGAAAGGGTTGACAGTTTAAAGGTACAACAGCCCCAACCCTTAATAATTAGAGTGCATGATAAAAACTAAATATCCGGACATTATGGAATATATAGATGCCTGGCTCCAGACTGCCCTCTTTTAATTACTCTCCTAGAAAAAGATCTCATGATTCTTCCTACTTGTCAGTAATATGACACTTCTTATTGCCAACCTTTGTGTAAGTGTGACTAGTCCAATGAGCACTTAGAAAGTGGCAGGAAGAGACTGACATAAAGGACCTGCCAACATTCAAATAAAAAGCTTAAAAAGAAAATATTTCTAATGGCACAACCTGGACAGAAGTGGCTTCTAATCTATACCACATTTAGGTCTTCAGAGTCCCATTGATAGCAAACTAGAACATAACCCCAAATTTGCATTCTTTCTCCAATGGACAGATGGATTTCAGACCAGTGAAGTTGTTCACTGGTTGTATTTTTTTAACACAGTATTGCTAAGTTCCAGTATATTTACAATGTTTAGTTTTTCCAAGAGTGAGAAAAGGGGGCAGTGCAAGGCACAAACTAATCTCAAGATCTGGAGAGGAGAGAACTCAATGGTTGCTATTACATACACATAATAAATCAACTCAGCAGCTAAACACCAAAATGAATTAGAACAGGAGAGGAAGAAGCATGGATTAAGAGTTATGCTGCATCCAGGATAACCATCCATGATTTTTCTTGTCTTAGAATTATGGCATGCATTTAAAAAGAAACACTCCAATTTGTGAATGGTTTGCTTATCATTATAGTGGGCTAAGCATGCTACAATTAGGCATCCTTCACAGAAATCTCTCACCTCTATGCTTAGATAATATTGATCTCCATGGGCAACCAGTGGGTCAAAAATGGTACCTCTCTTTCAAATTGGCATCTTATCCAGAAGGAATGCAGCAAAAAAGAGTTCAAGAAATCTCTAGCCCACACCTAAGTATCTTCTGAAGAGTCAAATAAATACCGCAAAGGCCAATATGAAATTTGGTGTGGCCCAAGAGACAATAGCTAGCAAAATATGATTTAACTGCCAGCTAAGGTTCAATAAAACAATGATAGGATATGAAGTCAAGCATTAATGGAGACTTGCACTAATTAATCCAAGAGGCAAGAGTATCCTGAACCACTAGATGGCACCCTGGCCTGAGAAACCAGTTCTACACAAGGTGTGTCCAGAACAGGAATAGAGATAAATCAGAAGTGGAGTAATGCATGCTTAAGTGTATGTAAAAGTTAAGTTGCAGAGACACTTCTAGAATCATCACTCACTGGGGTAAGAACTTATCTTTATGCTCATAAAATATGATGGCACTTAACTGCCCAACATGATAAAACCACCTGAATATCAAGACTGATGAAATGCTAAACTTTAAACTGCTGGCTAATTATCTTCAAAGAAATATTTATTGGGACAAATAAAGTTACACTGCAAAACAGGATGTGCCAGAGGGTGCAAGTAGTTGGTTTCTGTTAAAAGGCACATTTAACTGTCTAGGCCACAATTCCAACCCGGAAAAGGACAGAGTAAGATCTATTGAGGACTAGCTCAACCAAATACTATTTTGACTGACACAGAGAATTAAAAGCGTATCTGGATTGTTATTTTCAAAGCTAGGATAAACTGCTCAGAAGCTCCAGATGGTCTTTTCACCAGCCTTTGCTTCACATGGCAGTTTTCCTATACTGCAGAATGAGGTAGCAGAATTCATTGTACTACTTCACAATGCAGGCAGGGGGTGCCACTTTGAATCCACTCCCCCTTCCTGCAGCTATCCCTTTGCTAATAGAAAACTAGTACCTCAGAAGGTTCTCTCCTAATGTGCTAACTTTGTGCAGGGAGATGCATTTTCCACATGGAACCATTAAAACTTGACTCTACACACTGTTTAAAATTAAATGATTAATGCTATATTCAAAATTCCAACACTTTATTTGGCTATATAATTATACCAGGCCTAACCAAGGCTAGAAGAATTCAACTCTCCTTCAAGTTGGTTAATGACTTTGGACATTTATTCTGGTAACGTGCAAGTTTTCTTGTTATAATCATTTGCATTGCTTCATCTGACTTGACTGAAAACATGGCTATGGTAGGATTACCTCTTTTGCTCTTGGACTTTTTGCTTGCAGCCACACAAAAAGTTAAAACAAAAAGTGGGTTAATCCATGGGGGTCTGTGCAGCATAGATTATTTTTGGATCTCATTAAACTATGCAAGTTAATGATTCTAAGCTGTATTCTCTGCACATTCTACAGGCAGACATAACAGTTGCTTAACCCCAGTCAAGCTTCAACCATAACATTTGATGAGAGACTTCTACTGCTCATTTTGTCATTGTAATAGGACATACTAGTACGCATAAGATGTTGGAAGACAAAAGGAAGTCGTTAAGGTTCTTGCAGTCTCTGGCAATACTGAATACTGATCCACATCCTGCAACTTTGGCTGACTTGGAATGATAGCTGGGATGATAATAATTTATCCCAACATTAGATGAAAAAACAAAATGGAGATCAAAGCAATGCTACAAAATACATAGGAGGCAAGAAGGAAGAACAAAGCTCATCCCTTACCATTTCCAGCTAAATGGCGGCCAAGATCTAGAGAACTCCCCATCCCCACCCCCCGCCTGACCATTTTAAATATTACTAGAATCTCTAGAAAAATGTTTAGGTCACTGCAAGAGGTTGCACAGATAAAGAACATTTGCCATCCCTTTGTGCACTAGTGGAAGTGCCTTGAGCACCTCCAGGTGATTCCAGATCTTAAGCAAGCGGGCCTGGTGCTTACTCTTATACATATCTACACAGAAGTCAGCCCCATTAATTTAATCAAGCTTATTCCCAGGTAAGTGGGCAGAGGACTGCATTCTAAATCTCTCAGCCATCAGACTCTGTGCCAACAACAATTGACTTTTGTCATAAATAAGTAGGGGTAGCAAGGACTTTAAATTGGGTAAGGGCTCTCTCTTCCATGTGTTTCCAGTATTTCAGGCCATCAGTTCAGGACTTGGCCCAGGGTGGGTCAAAAACAGACTTTCCTAATTTCCCCTCATGGCAGAGATACTGTACTGACTCTGCCCAGCTACGGCATTCTCCTAAGGGCATCAGTATCCCAAAATATCCATTTCTTTCAAGACAGAAAGGTAGACAGAGGCTGAACTTTCAGAGAAGAAATAAGGCAGCTGGAACACTTAGCGGGCACCCTGCAGAACATGCCCCAGTGTCAAAAAGAAAAAAGTGAAGAAGGCAGACTCTTGCTGGATTGTCAGCCATTGTACTGTTGCTGATAGCGCAAGTTCAATTCTCGTAGTTCCCTCTCCCGCACCCGTCGGGACTTGTTGGATTTGGTGGACCGGCTGGAACGGGTAGACTGAGCTGATTTGGTGCTTTGGCAACGAGATGATGCCCTCTTGAGGAGGTTCTGAGAGATGGAACGGTGCAGGTTCTTCATGGAAGAAGAGGCGGCCATGCTCACCACCCAGGGATGCTTTAAGGCTTGAAGTGCTGTCATCCGGTCGCTAGGATCCACAGTTAGCAGACGGTCAATGAAATCTTTAGCAAGGTTGGACACACTGGGCCAGGGCTGAAAATTAAGGAGAAACAAAACATTAATTGTGATTTTAGTTACAAATATATCACTGGGTTAAAGTTGACAAGAAGCAAACTAACTTGTTTTTCTTTAAATACGGAGTTTTCTCCTTTGTACTTGCAAGCGCCACACCATTTGCTCTAAGTATTCCTTTGGCCACAGTGTTCCTATGAATTGGTTGAAGATCACTGGATTTTCTCTGCCCAAACAATTCCCAGGCACAACCACTGCAAATTGTAGCTCCAGGGGTGGAGTAAAAAATCAATTGGGATTGAGAATGGGATTCCGGCTATACTGTGGTATCAATGGAAATTCATTGACACCTGAGATAGGGGTTTTTTTTTAAATTTGTTTCATATCCACGAGTGGTCTCTCAGTGCTCCTCCCAATCACAGAAATCACCTGCCAATTACACTCATACACAATTTATACTACCTGAGCTGAAAGTTGGTTTTGTTTCTACACAGCACAAATTCATTTCCAGAGCCAGAAGTGCCAAAACAGGAAAAGAAGTACCACTGGGCTACTGAAACTTCACATTTGTACAGAACCTTGATGAAACATAACTCTAATCTATTGTTTAATAAACTCTATCATAATTCTTGGCATTACACAATATCCAATATAAGAATTTGTTTCAGCTTCAAGAATTTGGTACGGCCTTCTATCCACAAACAGGAAAACAATTTCCTATTCAGGACTGTTAACAGTTACATTTCCCTTTTTAATCTAGATTTTGTATCTAAACAGAACAGAACAGAACAGGACTGAGCCAATTTCCAAATGTGTGTTTTTAGTTAGAAATTGATACTAGGCCAGCTCACATAATGCTAGAATGCTAAATTAAAATCATCATCATCAAATAATCAATGCTAATATTTAATGTTATTTTAACCAACCCTTATTATTTTAACCAAACTGTGAAGCAACTCTTGAATAGGGAACTGGGACAGCCGGCAATAAATTATCATCTTCAGCTTGACAAGCGAGTCAGCATTACCAGCTCAGCTAAGGGGAGCTAAATAGGAACAAACTCTCAAACAACAAGGAATTGGATTTCTTATCCTTTCAATTACTCTGCCACCATCCGAAATGGTGAGCAGAGAGCACTAGTAATTAGAAATCTCTTCTAGTCAGCAAACACAAATTGGTTTATTGATCTGTTTATCTTGCTGGAGGCTTCACCTGCTGTACGGTATGTATCTTTGGCTTGATTTAATTAAGCTACCCTTCTGAAGGGAAGAGAAAAAAAATACCCTATTGAGGTTAGAAGTGAAATGAGCTTACTAGGTTCTTTGCCTACTGCCCATTAGAATGACCAGTTTCATCTTCTATGATGAAATTAGAGGAACATGGCAAACTTGCCACAGAATCTCAATCTCATGAGCTGAATATTATTTATATTTATTTATTTTTCAGTATTTGCTCAAGGAGAGATAAATTAGATGTAACGTTAAAACCTGCATTTGAATTTTATTCTCAGGATATCACTTAAATTTCAAGCAAGAAAAAAACCCAAGGTGAGTGGCAAGCAGCAGCTTCAAGGACAGGAAAGTGGGTGGGCTCATCTCCCTCCCCTTGAATCCTAAACCAAATGAGACACCCCCCCCCACTGCTGCTGCTAAGAGAATCCAAAGATGTACTCAGTATTACCATTCGTTTAGCCTTCCAAGTATTTTCAAGCAAAGAAGGGCAAGTCACTAAGAGAATCAGACTGGGAAGGTGGTCATAGATTTTAGAGTGAAAATTCTATCTGATATTTTTCATCAGCACAAAGAAGAACCCATTATCATAAACACTTTTATTTATCAGGAAGAGGCTGTATTGCATAAATAGACTGAACTGAGTCCTGAAAAAAAGGTCCACTGAGTTAGCCATGACATATAGTTTGCTTGCATATGCTTAGCCTAAGATTCAAGCACACGAGTTTCTTCCATGAGCATTACGGGAATGGCTATAGCTCGATGGTGGAGCACATGACCCACAAATGGAATGACTGTGCAGTCATTGGCTGTGTTTACATCTAACACTATGTCAGGCTGTTTTAATCATGGTTTGCTGAAGGTACCACAGTGGTTTCATCTGCCCATAATATAAGCTATAACGAACAGGTTTATGTATTACATTATATCAAAAGCCAATAAATGAGCTCATACATTCCAGATATGTACAGGTAGCGGTTCATTTCAGTGAAGGAAGCCATGTCATAGTAATTTGTTGCATTTGTTTTCTAAACAGAACATTTATACTTCCCCTACAAGTTCTCCTGGAATACTTGTTTTGTTCTGGGTCCAGATTGTTTGTGGATACAACAGCAATCTACTATGAGGCAAACTGCGTCATAGGTCTGCCACCTGTTTAGTATTATTCTAGCGCTACTGACATACTGTACAATTTCCTCTGACACTGCATTAAAGTCCATGCCTGAAGCACTGCAACTCTTGCATGGAAGGAAACTTTTGTAATTGCGCAAGATCACAACATTCTTGATCAATCCAACTCTAAGCCTTGCTGTGAACTAAATGTAAGGCTGCTTTACTGGAAAGTGGATGATCATCATTCCAAATGAGAAAAATGAGTTAATGTCCACTGTAGCCCAAGGGAACTTCTTGAATGGCAAGAAGAAACATGAATATAATCCTACAACAAACTCCTAAGAAGCAGGACTTGTCACCAGAATTTTTCAATCTTGTTTTTAATTTTCAGCTGAAAAAGAAAATTAAAAAAATTAAAAAAAATAAAATCTTAGCCACTCATCTGTCTTAAAAACACGACTAAGGACATTTGGTCCACAAGGAATTTTCCACATCAAAAAAGTTATTTTCCCCACTTTCCCCAGTGAACATGTCATTTGAAATTTTCACTATAACCTGAAATATTCTAACATACATACTGGAACCGTATCCTGAACAGTTACCGAAATGATGATGATGATGTAGTAATATATTAAATTTATTTCCCATCCTACTCCCAAGAACTTTGAGTGTTCTTCATCTTCATTCTTTTCATCTCAAGCACAAAGTCAGGCACATTGCTGCAAACCTGTCCAACAGTGACATTCAAACTGCAAGATGTGTTTTGCTCCAGTGCAGAGATAGTAGAACAAGCCTCAGCTCAAGAATAATAGCCTGGATCCTTCAGAAATAAATATGTTGTAACAAAAGCAAACATATGGGCTGAGTTCATGCAGCTCACTAAACCCAGGTTAACAAAACATGATTGTTGTGTCCACATAACATGTAATGTCCCTCAAAATAAATCATAATATGGCTTAATAAGATGGCCTAGATCATACCACATGCCAATACCAATGGTTAGGTTCCAAAAGCAGAGCCACAGATTATTCAACCCCATTTTAGGCTTGCCTAGCTTGGTGTAGCTTGGAGCCTAGTCAACCATACAAGAGTTACATCCATTTGGTCTGGAGCAGGTAGATCCATAGGAAAAACCCTGCTATTTATATGTGTGAGACACCTTAAAGTTCCAATCAATAAGTAAACTGAATTCCCAAAGTTGACTTCTTTCTCCCTCTTTGTTGTTCCAAGACCAAAATATAGAACAAGCAAGCAGCAACAGTGAAAGAGCTGAATGGGGCTCCCTGCAGGTAACTGCAACAGTAGACAGAATCTATAGCTGTTGCTATAATCATTCAGAGCCTCATTAATGGGCTTTTGTGTGGAGATACTGTTCCAATAGCAAACACAAGCACCAAGGACAGAAGAGGCTTGAAATTAATTATTTTACTTGGTGATTTATACTGTGTTGACCATGCTTCTGATATTCATACTTTGGTTAGAGCTTCATAGTGATTTTCTGAAGGGCTATTTCTAGCCTTTTAAAAACAATGTAATATATTCAGTTATTCACAATCAAATAATGATATACTGGAAATTATAGCCTCCATGATTTCTGTAAATCCTTTGTTTATTCATTTGTATTTACTCTTCCACCCCTTTTTCTTATTTCTTCTTTATGTATCTTCTTTAAAATGTCATATATAGGTATACAGAAGTTGTTTTGCTTCTCCTTGTCCTTTTAGCAGAGAAAAAAGAGAGGTTCCATCACCCCTACCATTCTTCCAAGGTTTCAGAGAGGGCATGCTCCTAATTCCCCTATTGGGAAGTTAAAACTAAGAGCAGAGTTTAAAGTTGATTGAACACTGAAAAGAGTAAGGACTGCTGTTCTGTGATCATCCAATGCCCAGTTAGCTTTAAGCTACCAAGGTGCTGGATTTGGACTAGCCAGTCCTTCTCTGTCAAATGATGCATACATTTATAATATGAAATAGAGCAGGGCTTCAAGAAATTGCCATTCTATTTCAGTTTGTATGGCTGGACCACTAAAGGACTCCAAGTATAGAATCAGGCTCTGGGGAAGCACGAGCTTAAATATATTGAGCCCACGGAAACAAGCAATATTCTTGTTCTACACACCAGAGAAAAGAAATAAGCACTACTAAGGAACAGATTGCCAGTGAGATGGCGATAGTCAGCAAAAGACTTAGCAAGCTAAACAGTGCAAAGTTGCATAATATACTGCTTGGAACATTTTGAAGCTATAGCCGATATTTACAGTGGCTTAACAGGCACTATCTTGTAATAAGTCTTGTATCCATTTTGTCCAGCTCGTGTTTAACAATGCATATACAGTATTTGGAAATAAATGGCAGTAGCGTATGGTAGCCATATTATACGTCCAGAATTGTCACCAGCTATGTTAAGAACAGTCTATAGTACAAGTGACTTGGCAACATCATCCAGAATGGTTCTTTTATGTTTGCCACCCTTACTGACCTGTGAATGTTGTCAAACTTTTAACAGCCAAATAGATCAAAAATGAGATTCTCATGGAGGCTTCCCCAATCATATGTATTAAAAGGGGCAAAAAAGATTATGATATTGACATCTCGACAACTAATACTTTCATTTTTAAGACCCAAGACATCTGGTTCTTCATTTTCTTGGTAATAGTCTTTTGACAGAGAAGAGAGCTAG